CCTTCTCTCTCTGTGTCTCTCTCTGTCAAATAAATAAATAAAATCTTAAAAAAAAAAGATTTTATTTATTTATTCATGAGAGACAGAGAGAGAGGCAGAGGAAGAGGGAGAAGCAGGCTTCCCGCAGAGCAGGGAGCCTGATGTGGGACTCAATACCCAGACCCCAGGATCACGACCTGAATGGAAGGCAGGCAGACAAAGGCAGGCAGACGCTTAACCACTTAACTTACTGAGCCATCCAGGCGCCCTAGTTCATTTCTTTAAATGGCTATGTAGTTATTTTATACACAGTCTATCATTTTTTCCTTCTGATGGATAGTTCTTTGCTATTACAGTGTTGCAGGGAAGATTCTTGTATATGTCTCCTGGTATACATGTGTGATAGTTTCTCCAGGGCAGTGGTTCTCAAACATTTTGGTCTAAGGGCCTCTTTACACTCTGAAAATATGACTGAGGACCTCAAAGACCTTTTATGTGATTTATAACTATCAATATTTATTGTATGAAATATGCTTAAAATACTTATTTTTTTAAAAAAAATCACAATAATAAACCCGCTATGTGTTATAAATAACATTTTTATGAACAATAACTACACTTTCCAAAATAGAAAAAAAAATAGAAGAGTGGCATTGCTTTTACATTTTTGAAAATCTCTTTAATGTCTGAATTAATAGAAGAGAGCTGGATTCTCGTATCTGCTTCTGCAGTTATCTGGCTGTGACGTATACCATGAGCCTCTGGAAAACTTCACTGAACACTCATGAGAGAGTGAGGATGAAAAAGGCAAATGATGTTCTAGTGTTGCTCTGTAAAGAGTCTCGATCTCACGGACTTGCTGCTGCTTCAGGGATTATAACTAAGAAGGGCATAGCTGAGTATGGTGTGCCTCTTTAACTGTTAGGTGTTGTCAAAGTGTACTTGACAGTGTAGAACCTGTTCAAACTTCTGTTGCTGGTTGAGAGTTCCTGTCACTTTATTTATGTCAATACCTCTGTGCTCAAGCTTAAAGGAATTTGCCGACATGATGGGTGTGAAGTGCTGTATTTTTTGTTTTAATTTGCATTTTCTTGATTAGTACACTGGGTATCTTTTTATCTGTTTATTGGGCATCATGGGTTTCATTTTCCATGAATGTATTGTCCCTGTCATCTGCTTGTTTTTCTGTTGGGTTGCTTGTCTTTCTTATTGACTTGTAAAATATGTAAAAGTTCTTCATGTATTCTGGAAGCTAATCTTTTTCTGATCCTTTACTGATAACTTGGCTTGTCTTTTCCCTTTATTTATGGTATATGTTGTCACAAAATTCATTGTTTTGCTCATCAGTATTTTTTGCCGTAAATATTTATTTTGAAATATTTCAAGGCTGAATACTCTGCTGTAGATTCACCAGTTGTTAACATTTTGCTACCTTTGATATAATCTTTTTTACTGCACCATTGGAGAGTAGGCTGTTTCTGCCTTTCAAATCCTTATTCTTTTTTTTTTTCCTACTTTGCCATATACATTAGGACTTTTACTAATGTGTTGAAGAAGAGTAACGGCAAAATAATACTGGTTAGGATTGTGGTCAGCTATATGTAACTGAAAACCCAAGTGATAGGGGTGTATTTTCTCATGTAACAGGAAGCCCAACTTCACACTATCATCAGTGCCCTAAGATCATTTTATATCTTTCTTTTTTTTTTTTTAAAGCAGGTGGGAAATGCGAACCACCCATTTTTTTTTTAAAGGTTCTCTTTATTTGAGAGACCGAGAGAGAGCGAGAGAGAGCACAGAGGGAGAGGGAGAAGCAGACTCCCCACTGAGCAGGGAGCCCGATGTGAGACTCGATCCAAGGGCCCTGAGATCATGACCTGAGCCAAAGGCAGTTGCTTAACCGACTGAGCGCCCCAGGCACCCTCTGTATCTCTTTTTTGCCATCTTTAAGTATTTGGATTTTGTCCTTGTAGATGACCACCACAGCTCCAGGTATTACATTCATATTCGGGGCAAGAAGAAGTAAGTGAAGGGAAGAAGTACTTATATCAGGAGAAAAAAAAACCCTCAGAAATCTTCAGAAGACTTTCCTAATTTCTGTTGACCAGAATTATGGCATAGTCTAGCTGCAAGTGGGTCTGGGGAAAGTGGTTTTTCAACTGAGCAGTAACTGCCTTGAACAAAATTGGGATTTTTGTTAATAAGGAAGTAGGGCTACATATCTGTCACATGACATTCTTTTTTTTTTTAAAGATTTTATTTATTTATTTGACAGAGAGATAGAGAGCATAAGTCATCAGAGAGGCAGGGAGAGGGAGAAGCAGGCTCTCCACTGAGCAGGGAGCCCGACATGGGGCTTGATCCCAAAGCTCTGGGATCATGACCTGAGCCAAAGGCAGCCACTTAACTGATTGGGCCACCCAGGTGCCCCTATCACATGGCATTCTTATCTATGCTCCTGACTCATTTATTTGAGAGAGAGAGAAAGAGAGAGAGCACATGAGAGGGGGGAGGGTCAGAGGGAGAAGCAGACTCCCTGTAGAGCAGGGAGCCCGATGTGGGACTCGATCCAGGGACTCCAGGATCATGACCTGAGCCGAAGGCAGTCGCTTAACCAACTGAGCCACCCAGGCGCCCTTAATTTGACCTTTTTATGAGAGAAGAAACTAACACATTTGTTAGGGTCCTATTGAGAGTTGGGGTGTTCATATACTTTATTTCACTCATTCCTCACAATATTCCTTCAGGTGGGTGTTACCTCATTTAATAAATGAGGAAGCTGGGGCACCTGGCTGGCACAATTGGTAGAGCATCTGACTTCTGATCTCAGGGTCATGAGTTCGAGCCCCACGTTGGGTGTAGAGATTATTTAAAAATAGAGAGAGAGGAAGGAAGGAAGGAAGGAAGGGAGGGAGGAAGGAAGGGGGAAGGGAGGGAGGAACCAAAGATCAGAGAGGTTAAGTGACTTGCCCAAGAACATAAGCAGTTATGCTGGAATCACTATTTGAATCCCGGTTGTTCTCTCTGGCTTCTAAACCAATGATCTTGCTACTATACTGTGTCAGCTTTCAGTTAGCTGATGGGTGAATTTGGTCTCTGCCCTCAAAAAGTCACTAGTTGTCACTTTTCTCTTCTGGTATTTTGGGGCCTTACACTGTGTTATGCTTTTTGTTTTTTGTTTTGTTAAAACTAATCTGATTGTTTTCAAATTTTATGAAACCCTTTTGATCTAGAGTTGTTTCACTAGTATGCTAAATGTCAAATATTCTATGGAATTGCGCTCTTCTAGAGCTCGGCAAACAGTGTCTACAAACAGAACCATCATACTCTGGAGTAGTAGTCGCACAGGGTGGAGAACAGAAGCGGATGAGCTTTTAAGATCAGAAGAGGGAAAGAAGATGGTTGTGGGATGACAATCCTCTTTGGGGTAGCTGTGATTCAGAGAGTGTGCAGTGGAAGAAGAGGAACGTGGAGGAAAAAGGATTTACATGTTGTGCTTGTTTTATATGAAAGTATCTTTATAGAACAAAGCTCTTTTTAGCCAGGTTTTCGCTCTTATTTTTTGCCTTAAATATTGGCAATTCCAGGCTATGCCAAACATGAATGTTTTGATTCTGTCATTTTAGGATTTGTGGAGAAAGAGATAAGAAAAGCTAATATCCCTATTATGGACACTGGTGAAAACCCAGAGGTGCCCTTCCCCCGGGACATGATTGACTTAGAGGTAAACAGTTCTTCTAAGGAAGCCAGATACATTTCTTTCTACTTAAATGCAGAAATTATTTTCCTGTGTGGATGGAGAGTAGAGGAATTCTTGCTGCCGTTGTCCGCATTGTCTCTTGCTTGTGAGTTTCTTGTGGAGACTTATTATAGAGCACTATCTTGAACGATATCACATGCCACCAAATAAATGCTTATTGCCTTATTGAAACCTTATTGGATTAATGTCAACTTATCTAGCAATTTATTAATCTCATAGACTAAATGAATAAGCAGTAGACTTTTCAATATTTATTTTATCCATCCAAAGTCCCCTGAGAAATTCAACCAAGTGTGTAATAGAACTGAAAGGTAAAGACAGATGATGCTAAGCAAAAAATTTTCATGAAGAAAATTGCCCTGGTGAAATCACATATTTGCTAGGTAGATATAAAATATGTTTGAACCCTAAGGTTGCAAGAATTCTGTGGGATAGATGAATTCATCTGTCTTTCAGAACAAGCATATTGAGGTTAGTTTAAGTTAATAGTTTGATTTTTTTTTCCTGTAGGCCAATTTTGAGAAGATTGAAAATGAACTGAAGGAAATCAACACAAACCAGGAAGCTCTGAAGAGAAATTTCCTGGAACTGACTGAACTAAAATTTATACTTCGCAAAACTCAGCAGTTTTTCGATGAGGTCAGACTATTGTTTCTTTTAGTATTTGAGCAGCTGATATCTATCACACCTGCACAAGTGGGCCATGTTGTTATTCCAGAAATTATTTTAATTTGCTAGTTGAAAGCAATACCATTTTTGCACCGTTTTAGTTGAAGAAATGTCAGATTATGTTCCATTTTTCATGCAGTACACAGCCAGTCATGGTTTTGTATACTTTTGCAATTTTCTGCAATTTTTCATCACAAGATGGGGAAAGGAACCCTAAAGTAGTTGTATATACATAGTTGAAATTTTTACATTATATTTTAAGGTAAGTAAAGGCTTAAGGTAAGGTAAAAGTTAAAGCAACAAGAAATATTTGGTCCTACATGAAATTGTAACGAAGTTTTAACCTCTGAACTTTTTATCATCAAGTTTTTATTTTATTCTCTATGTTTGCTTATCAGTCATGAGCACATTTGTAACTATCCACATAGCACATGTCACATTTTAATTTTTCAAGAGTTTTTCTTTATGTTGTATGGAAATACTGGTAGGTTGCCTGTTTTGAAATTCCTGGATTTCCATGGAAACTCATTGCACTACTTTATAGGGAAAAATGTAAATCAGTTCCTGGGTTAAAAATGTAGGTTGCACATGACAGTTTGCTGAGGTGAGTCTACGGAAGGACATGGGAGCAAGACTTTCAGAAGACTTCCTTCTAATTACACCTGGAGAGGAGTCTTAGCTTTTAGCCTGGACTTGCTTTATTGGTGGCCTAAGATATTGGTAACTTTTTTTTTTACAGTAAGGTGTCTTTGCCACCAGATTAGCAATATCAGACACTTCAGCTATTGGTCCAGTCACTGTTCAATGTGCCTTCCATAACATTCTTTGTTTCCTTTGCTCAACAACAACAAAAAATTTGGCAAAGCTTTTTAAAAATAGAAGGCCAGTTTTAGTTAGTACATGATGTATTCTCTCTCTCTCTTTCTTTAAAGATTTTATTTCTTTGAGAGAGAGAGCATGAGCAGTGGGGAGAGGGAGAAGCAGGCTTCCTGCTGAGCAGGGAGCCTGACGTGGGGTTCCATCCCAAGACCCTGGGATCATGACCTGAGCTGAAGGCAGACGTTTAACCCACTGAGGCACCCAGGTGTCCCACGTGGTGTATTCTCAGTTCTACTTTTGATATCTGTCTTTTAAGGAAAGACCAACTCTCTAGCCCTCTAGACTGGAGCAAGGGCTCTGTAACCAGCAGCATGAGCCTCACCCGGGAACTTGTCAGAATGCACGTTACTAGTCCTCAGTGTAGACTCAGGGAATCAGAAACTCTGAGGGTGGGGCCCAGCAATCTGTTTTCACAGGGTGACACTGAGGTATGCTAGTTTGTAAACCACTGGGCGTCAGAAAGCTGAAGATGTGATACATTCCTCAGTAACTAAGGACTGACTCAGAGAAGCCATGCTAATTAAAAAAATCTGTTGGGGCAAGGGAACGGGAAAGAGCTCATATGAATTTAATTGCATGATCATCCCAAGAATCAGAATCTGGCTATGTATCAAGAGAGGTTTGGTGTGAATATTCAGCTAGCTCACTGAGTGGAGAATTTTGAAACTGACAGAAACTTCTTTCACCAGTCCCTGATATCTCATCACATTAGAGGGTGTGGGACAGTGTGATTAACTCTTTCCATGTGTTTCAGGTCTTTTGCAACAGGCATGGCCACTTTTCCGTATGGCTTTCATGAACAATAATCTGGAATTCCAGTTGCTCACTGCCTAAACTGTTATTGTATTTATATTCATTAATTCACTGAGCATTTAATGAGCACCTACTCTTCGTGAGGCACAAGATGAGTAAGACATGGTCCCTGTGCTCAAGGAATGCTTCGCTTAGTCATATCAGGAAACATGCCAGAACACAGTGCCCCCATATGCTCACAGATATGTGCTTTTCTAAATGTGTCTAAGCTGCTGCCCGCAGATCCAATTTCAGCTGGCCTCAGAATCAAAGCTCAGGTACTTTGAGCATCATTTGGGGCTTAATTCTTTTGCCCTCCCCCCACTTCTTCCCCTTTTGATATAGTCTTAGTTTATTGCTGGATGTTGCTGAAATGTATGCAGATGTCTTTCATAACCTCCTGAGTTTAAGGGATGGAATAGGCTTCCTTGTCTAGTTCATTCTGAGAGAAAATCTGAATAAAGACTGACAAATGGACCCCCTTATGGGCAATAGTTACTTGAATTGTTAATGTTACTAAAAACAAAGTAAGAAAAATCACTTGGAAAGATGAGCACAGTTTTAAAATCCTAAGTTCTGGATTTAGGAATTTTCTTTTCTTTTTTTTCTTAATAAATCTAAACATGAAACACCCATGCTGAGAAGGCAGGCTGGAAGTCTTCATGACCTTCATGCTCCATCCACAGTGGGTTGCTTTCCCCCTTACTCACACAAAACTTTTTTTTTTTTTTTTGGTAATAATCTCAAAGTACTTTTGAGCATGAGGCCTTGGCTGTGAGAGATTCTTTGGCTGCTTTTGTCATCAGTCTCTCTTGTTCCTAGCACCCTTACGATAGTGCGGGGAGTCTTCTGGCAAGAGCTACTCTGCCTTTCTTCTCCCAAGTGCAGAGTCAGTGCCTTGTGGAGGCCTGCCACTAGCTCAGAGGCTCAGCCAGGTCCCTTTCAATGGCCCTTGCCCTGCTGTTGCCAGACAGCTGCCTTGACAGGAAATGAGACCTCACAGAGTGAGTGCATCTGTGCACGTGAGTGCACACTTCAAATAATGCAAAAGATAAACTTGGGACCCTCAAATCTCGGAAACGTAATTTTTTTCACGAGATTGTCTTCCATGCCTGAAACTACAATGTTTGCAAATGGCCTAAAACATGACCAGTTCAAACCCTTCTTTTTTTATAAAATTTGGTGAACATGATCAATAATTTATAATAATGAGTTAGCCAAAAATGGCTCAATCAGAAAATGATTCTTTCCATCTTTAGGCATAGTGGTCATGATTGGCAAGATGTCTGAAAGGGGAAGAGTAAACATAAATCGAACATTCTTATGATTTAAGATGATTGCAAGTTCGACATAGCCATTTCTTATCCAGAGCATTTAAAATGACTTGTTAATGATTATCCTTTTCTCAGTCTTCTTGCTTATGAAGAACTATAAGAGCTGGAGAGAGTTCTCTGCATCTTTTACTATAAGCACCCTAACATATGAGAGCGTAAAGAAGACTGGAAAAGTAATGGTTAATGGCATGCAGGTCCCTGCCTTCCTTTCCTTCTGAGTCTTCCATCCATCTGCTTTACTTTACTTTTCTTTCCCATCTGCCATCTCCCTTGGGGCTTGGGTGAACACCTTAAGTGATGAAATGTGATTTCTCTCTCAATATAGATGGAAGTAAAAGTGTTTGCTCTTGGTAATTAATGCAGCTTGAACTGGATGTGCTGTTGACAGGGCGCTGCTGAGATTCTGCCGCTTCCTCTTTCAGGGCATGGTTTTAGTGTTCTGACTAGGGGAAAGGTGAACCAAAGAGCATAGCAAGTAATTCAGATGCACGTTGGTAGCGTTGTTTTTGTTATTAGGAAACCCAGAATAGGATTCAGATACCCCACGGTGCGGTTTTAGAGATTGTCTTAAAGGCCCTCAGTAAGCAGTTCTGGTCCTCCTAGTTCCCCATGAGGCACAGTTATTTTATTTAAAAATGTTTGACTTCCCTCTCTAAGATTTAGGATTCTTAAGTATGAAGTAGTGAAATTATTAATTAGAATATTATTGCAAGTTTCCATTTAATTTTAATTCTGCTGAAGTTTTTTTTACACCCAGAGTCCCAGGTGAGTAGTAGACTACAGAGTAGTCTTGTTGCTCAGTGCTTTTTGCTGCTCCAGCAGTTGTCCCCTATAGAGCACATATGTTTGCACTGTGCCTGATCTTTTGGGTTTACTGAAAGCAGGTCTTGTGAACCATACAGGGAAGTAGGCAGAAGTCTTGTGGGTAGCAGTCAGTTTCACTGTTTTTTGCCAAGGGACATCCCAAGAACAAGATGAAAGGAGGTAGTCATCTAGATCCTTTTTTTTTTTTTTAAAGATTTTTATTTATTTTTTTGACAGAAAGAGACTGCGAGAGAGGGAACACAAGCAGGGGGGAGTGGGAGAGGGAGAAGCAGGCTTCCCTGCTGAGCAAGGAGCCCGATGTGGGGCTCGATCCCAGGGCCCTGGGATCATGACCCAAGCCGAAGGCAGATGCTAAATGGCTGAGCCACCCAGGCGCCCCAGTCATCTAGATCCTTAAAATGAGTTGCCTGTGGCTTGCAATCAGCTGATTTGATATTAAGTAGAAACCAAAAAAAGCCCCCTAAACTTCCATTCGATAGCAAGTGGAAATCTGTTGCCCCCATTATCTCATCTTAAACTTTTTCACATCTCATGACAGTATTTGTCTGCCCTCTGACGTACTCAGTGCCTGCCCTTCCTTCCTTCTTCCCTTCCTTCCTTCCTCTTTTCCTTTCCATTCTGTTCCGTCCCTTCTTTCATTCAGCCGGGGTGGGGGGTAAAGTTGAATGTTGATCCTGCATCAACTTTTAGAAGTCACTTCCCCAAAAATTTTTCTTTTTTTTAGGCTTTCAGCCTTATTATTTGGTTTATATCCTCAGGTTTATACTCAATCCTAAAGCCTTCCCCCCGCACCCCTTGACTTTACCTTTATGGTCCTATCACTTATCAAGTGAGGTTCCTTTGTGACATTTTTTTTTTAAAGATTTTATTTACTTATTCATGAGAGAGAGAGAGGCAGAGGGAGAAGCAGACTTCCCGCAGAGCGGGGAGCCCGATGCGGGACCCGATCCCAGGACTCCGGGATCATGACCTGAGCCGAAGGCAGACACTTAACCATCTGAGCCACCCAGGCGCCCCCTTTGTGACATTTTTTGATCGCAGGGTTAACAGGAAGAGAATCAAATTGATGTTTGGAATGAAAATGATAGAGAAAAATTTTCCTGATTTTTTTTGTTTAGTTTTGCTTTTGAAAAGGAAGATCATCTGGCTGATTTCTAGTCTTTGGTTAAACAAGCAGTATGTGGATATTAAAGTTGGGGAGATCAGGTGGTAGAGAAGTTGATTGGCCTTTATTTTTTAGAGCAGCTTCTCCTTCCTGATAAGACTAAAGGTAGTAGGATGTGTTGGGTAGAGAGAGTTTAGGAAGTACAGACCTCCATCTGAGAAGGTCCCTCTCCTCCTTCATTTCATTGTATAAACTGTCATGGTGGAAATAATTTTAAATCTGAACAATTAAACTAGCCTACATGCTCTATATTGGCTTATGATCAGTTACATTATCTTCACTTGATTGAGATTATTGGTTTCCACTTTCTCAGTGACCCTTAAACTATGTAGCCTAACATGAACTTTTTAATATTCCTAGATTCCTGGTCAGAAACTAGGACATTCAGATAGGTTTTCACTTTTTCTTCCTTCTGTTGATGCAGTGGAGGTCCAGGCCTGCCCAGCTGCTGTGCCGCTTCTCCTTTTGGAGAAAGAAATACTCTTTAAATCCCATGGCTTGGGGCATTTTATACGGTGGCCATGCTGAAAGCTCTCATGTTCTGAATTTTGAAGAGCATGGAAACCCAGACATGTGGAAATGCCCCTTCCGCCTTTCTCCTGTTCACACTGCTTGGGACAGTGGCTGTGCTTTTCTTTCTTCCTTGGAAAGAGAGTCTCCATCTTTCACATTCCCACCCAGGGATATTCTAGTCTCTAGCTGTCTGGAAATTTGATGTTGAGAGTATCTTCAGGGCTGCTTTGGTTTTGCCGAAAACGGAGAAACATTTCAGCTTCCATCCGCATGCACAGGTATTTCCTAGTATTTTCATGGCTTTCAGGGAAACACAGATAAAATGGTTTCCACCAAATAACAGATTTATACATTGTCACCATTATTTAGTGTTTTTTTCCTTTATTCCTTATTTCAAAAACCATTTCCCTGATGCTTTACTGGGGCAGTTAAGCTTTCTTTTCCTCTTGTTTCTTTCCTTTGTTTTCTTCCCCTATTCTTTTCGTGAGTATGTCGTCTCTTTTGGTGGTTTTTTTCTTTTCCATCTTTATTTTCAAAACTTACCTCCTGGTTCCTCGTTCCCTGCATGCCACTAACTATTTTCATTAGATATTAATTGATTTGTGAATTCAGGCTGAATTGCATCATCAGCAGATGGCGGATCCAGACTTGTTGGAAGAGTCCTCGTCCCTCTTGGAGCCAAGTGAGATGGGAAGAGGCACACCTTTAAGACTTGGGTGAGTACTATTTCGACCCTCCATAACTCAGTGGGGTCACATTCATGTTTGCTGTCAAAAGAGTAGTGAGGCGGGGCATTCACTTGTTTCCAGGATGTGTTCTCTTCTGAGCCTCTTGAGAGGTGTTCCTAGGTCACGTTGGATTCAGTTCCTGAGCTGTTCTGTCAACCCTTTCCTGGTTCTGGGAAGAAAACTTTGGGAGCCCTTTTGACATAATATTGCATAGCCTTGTGTTTGTCTTGCCCCCTCCCCTCACTTCCCTTCCTTGTCTTAAAGCCTTCCATCCCATGGCATGGAATAGAGTTCCCCATCTGGCTCTTCTTCCCACAGCTTCGTGGCTGGTGTGATTAACCGGGAGCGCATCCCTACTTTTGAGCGCATGCTTTGGCGGGTCTGCCGGGGAAATGTGTTCCTGCGACAGGCTGAAATCGAGAACCCCCTGGAGGATCCTGTGACTGTAAGACAAGGAAATTGCGTCCCATGGAGTAGGTCTTGTAAAGGGAGCTCAGAGCAGTAACACTGCATGGTACCACCTGAATCTGACCCTCCCGCAGAGGAGCCCTTATGTTTCCCCCTACCCTGATCTGCGAATAGGAAGCACTGCTCTTTTCCTCTTAACTTCTGTCCTCTGTGTACCTATGACGTATACTGACAGATGCATAGACATTTTCAAGCCCCACCTGTGTCGGTATGATTTGGACTGTATGGTTTTTTTCCCCTTATTTTAAACTTAAGCTTTATATACTTTCTGTTACCTATCAGAGGCCAAAAGAAAATTAACTTTCTGTGAAAATCAGAGCATGACATCTGGTTCCAGGTTTGGTAATACCAATGTGTAAGAAGAGGAGAGAGTTCCTCCTCAACTATGAGCTTTATAAGGTGATGAAATTTTTAGTTGGTAAGGTTTTTTGTCTATTTGTTTGTTGGGAGATTTAGAAACTTAGTTTAAAAATAGTTTATTGTGCAAGGTAGGAGGATCTTCCCTACCCAGTGCTTTGCAAAGTAGGAATGGCTGAACATCTTGGCATTTGACATAATGGGACAGAGTTCTTAACATCAACCTACACTAAGTATGGTGAATCCTGATTTCAAGGATCACAAGCAAGGAAGATGAAATGTTCTGCAAAAAAATTTACTTTACTGTTGTATTGGTAATATTTGGAAGCCTGGGCTTGGATTTTCTGTTGAAAATTATCTTTTGGATGTTCTTAAATTAGTATCCTTTGCTCCACGAAGAGAGATTGGATTGTGAGACTTCTCAGAGTGGGTGGGTCATGCAGCTGAAATGGTCTGGGCACCTGAGGCTTTTATCCTTTTATCCTCCTGAAGAGGAGAGTGGTGACACTTAGGGTTCGGGGAGCCCCCAGAGGAGCAGTTGTGCAGACCCACCGGAGGCTGTCCTCGCGTTGTAGAGACATTGCAGTCTGCAGTGACTCCTAATGTGGAGCTGTTCTCAGGAATATTCAGCCAAGTTTCTGGGCAACAGAAACATTATTTTATCAACAAATTGAGGAAGGAGTCTGGATAGCTACAGCAGAGAGGCTGCACAAGGAATGTGCTCCAGTTTATTTTCCATTCTGGAGAATTTAGGGATTTAAGGCTCTTTGCATCATTTTCTTCATTCCTCATCTCCTCTTATCCTTCTAAAGTTTGTTTTTTATTATAAAAATTCTAGGAATATGAGAAAATACAGGCAACCAGAGGCAGTCTTGGTTAACACCCAGTTAAGCCTATTTTTCTGATCTTTCCCTGCAGTCCTTGTGTCAGACTTCATATGTGAACTTGGTATTTGGAATAGATTGCCCTCCTCCTCCCTGCCCCTTAGATCAAACTTAGCATGAAGCATGAGATTCCACATCAACCTTCTTCCCAAACCCTCACTTCCTTATAGTTCCTCAGTCCCCTTTATCTGGGAACTTCTAAGCATAGAACAAACAGGAATGGCTTCCTTTCCTCTCCTCCATCCTTACTCGGACAGTGTAAGGTTTGAAGTTGAATTGGTATAAAGGGCTATATGGTGCTACAAGGAGAATCATCTTAGTGTCTGTGTTAAGCTCATGGTTGAGTTTAAAAACAAGTATCTAAGGTTTTTTGTGTGAATGAGAGACTACAGGGCAAATGTTCTTATAGCAGAGCTTAAACGGATGGAGGATAATAATTCAAGTGCAGGGTTGCCATGTCCTTCAGTGACTCCCGTTGTTCCTATATCACCAAGACAGTAGGGTATTTAAGAAATTTTCTTCCAGGCCAGAAGTCTGAATGCTCTGTTTTGGGTTTGGGGCCCAGGGTGACTACGTGCACAAGTCCGTATTCATCATTTTCTTCCAAGGCGATCAGCTGAAAAACAGAGTCAAGAAGATCTGCGAAGGGTAAGAGAAATGTGCCTCCCTGAGGGGTGCAGCCAGGCTGCCTGACTATTAAGCCTTAGAATATAGAACAGTGAAACAATAACCCTTTTAGTCTACTTTGACACAGCACATATATCTTTTAATAATATTAGGGGTATTTTAAACAATTAGAAATGACCTAAGTTCATTTTTAGAAGTACTATCAAAACCGCAATTTCCTTTCTTTGGAAAAAAGTAATTAGGACTCATGGTTTATAAATGCTACGTTGTTCTAGGACGATGGGTTTGTGTACCCAGCACTGTGCCATAGGCACTGTGCCTGCACACTTTTCTGAAATTCTGTCCATAAGATCTCTTTTCCGTGCCATTTTTCTCAAGTAATTTACAATATGATTTGTATTGCTGAGTTTTTAAAATTTTAATCTAAGGGAATTTAGTAGCTGCAGAGAATGTCAAGATAGTTCAAATGTTATTGCTCAATCTATAGGACATTTCATATTTATTAATGATCAGTGCACCAGTCTGAGCTAATCCTTCTAGTTTTGGTCCTTCTAGTACATTAAGATTACTTCCTGAGGTTATTTAAATTGAACAGGTTAAGAAACTTCAGTGTCCATCAGGCTGTGTCTGTATGTTCCAGGTTCCGGGCCTCACTCTATCCCTGTCCTGAGACACCACAGGAGAGGAAGGAAATGGCTTCTGGAGTTAATACCAGGATTGATGATCTCCAAATGGTACCAGAGGGCTGGAGGGAATTTTTTTGTGTGAAATACTATAATCGAAGACTGTTCCCCTTCCTTGAAACACTAACAGTTTATTAGGCATCAAGAGCAGCCAGGATGCAAAAAAAGAAGTGTCCATGGGTAACTTGTGCCCTTGGGAGCTAGGGAAAAGTTTCAGGGAATGACTGTTAAAAATAGCATAACAGCGTTAATCATCCTCAAACACGACAGGAATGCTATACATCTGAAATTGTTGTTGCTTCAAGTATTCAGTTTCCCTCTTCGTGAGTCTGAGGTATTTTTTATGAGTAAAAAAAAGTATACTTAGTTAAGGAAAAAAAATCAAGTAATACAGAAGTACACGTGAAGTCAGTTCTGCCCTCTCTCACACACTCTCTCCCTCCAGAGGCAGCCACTCTTAACAGCTTGGTGTGTAGCTTCTGGTCACCTCGGATCTTAACCAAACGGTCTAGCCAGAGAGTCCTGTAAGTCTTGTACCCAAGAAGAGACTATTAGATTTTTACCACATCACCAGTGTGGTTAATACGATCCATGGTTGTCATGAGGTCCTAAGGACGGAGTCATGATTGAGACGTACTTGGAAGGAAAGTGTGGCCAGTTGGAGCTTTGTTCCCTGTTGAAAGGATGTGATGATTGCCCTCTTGAAACATTAAAACATTCAGTAGTCCCCACCCCCCTTTATCTGTGATTTTGCCTTCTGAGGTTTCAGTCACCCACAGTCAGCTGTGGGTCTTAAACATGATCCCCTGATGATGTCAGAAGGTTATAGTAGCCTAATGCTGCGTCACATGCCTACATCATTCACCTCACTTCATCTCACATAGGCATTGTATCCTCTCACATCCTCACAAGAAGGGTGAGTACGGTACAATAAGATATTTAGAGAGAGAGAGAGACCACATTCACATGACTTTATTATTATACCATATTGTTACAATTATTCTATTCTATTATTAATTGTTAATTTCTTACTGTGCCTAATTTTTAAATTAAACTTCATCATAGGTATGTGTGTATAGAAAAAAACGTATTATATATATAGTTAGGTACTATTCACGGTTTTAGGCACCCACTGGGGGTCTTGGGTGGTGTCCCCTACAGATAAGGCGGCCCACTGTACTTAATCTCAAAGACAGTTCTTTCCAGCAGGGGCAAGATTGTCAGAGATATGTTGTAACTCCCATTTCAACTCCGTTTGTCATCTTTCCCTCCAACTCCCATTGTCTATGACCCACCAACTTGACCTATTTCCAGCTCCTCAGAGATACACTTACCTGTTTAACCACGGGAAGAGAGTTTTTTAGAACTGCTGATGGGCGATAGGCCAATTAGTGTGTTCTGGGTTCTAGGGCTATCTTATCCCCTCCTAGACTTACACGTAGATTTTTAAAAGGCACAGGCAATATGGTCAGAATTTGATCTTTGAAATACCCAGCTGTATGAACTGAAACTTTATTTTTTATTTATTACGATTTTATTTATTTATTTGACAGAGAGGCACAGCCAGAGAGGGAACACAAGCAGGGGGAGTGGGAGAAGAAGCAGGCTTCCCGCTGAGCAGGGAGCCCGATGCGGGGCTCGATCCCAGGACCCTGGGATCATGACCTGCGCCGAAGGCAGACGCTTAACAACCGAG